AATTCCCCTGAATGCAGCCGAGAGCTTTCTATTCCGTACGTAACACATCTCGGACGGTTCGTTCCTCAGTCTCCCAGCTGCGAAGAGCAGCCTGAAAACGCCTTCGTTCCCCGCATCGAGCGGAGCAAACCAGCTAAGTAATAACGGAGCTGGAGCAGATGAAAAGAATTAAGTGTGATAACCCCCCTGTTCCGTGAGGATTTGCAACATTGAGGGGGATATTCCCCTCCGTGCTGGGACCAAGGCTATCGACAGAAACATGGCAGCCCAGCCAGAACAAGCGATGCACGGGGGAGCTGCTGTGCCCGGCTGCCGAGCGACCCTCGGGGAGCTGGTGCGGGCAGCTGGGGACCCAGCACCGCTGATTGCAGGGGGCACGGGGGATTCGGGGCTCCCTGGGTTGTCGCCACATACATGCGTTTGGTCTTCTTGTGGGGAATCACAGAACCATAGGATGGTTTGGGTGGGAAGGGACCCCTAGAGGTCACCCAGCCCAACCCCCCTGCAGGAGCAGGGACACCTTGAACCACAGCAGGTTGCTCACAGCCCCCTCCAACCTGGCCTGGAATGGTCCCAGGGATGGGGCCTCCACCCCCTCTCTGGGCAACCCCTGCCAGGGTTTCACCACCCTCACAGCAAAGAATTTCTTCCTTAGATCCAGTCTAAACCTCCCCTGCTTCAGTTTAAAGCCATCACCCCTTGTCCTGTCCCAGCTGGCCCTGCTAAAAAGCTTGTCCCCCCCTTTCCTCTGGGCCCCCTTTAGGTACTGAAGGGCCATAATCAGGTCTCCCCGCAGCCTTCTCTTCTCCAGGCTTGGTGAGGGCTTACCTGGCATTTTGCTGGGAGGCGAGGCGCTGGGCTGGTTGTGGTGGGGGGAGCCATGGGACAGCAGCAGGTTCATGCTGTGCGGGGGCTGGCCCGAGCTGTAGGCATCCATGGCCAGCTTCTGGCGGAAAGCCTCCTCCTTCCGCCGGTTGGCAAACCAGTTGTAGACGCGGACCTCCGTCACCAGGTTGGAGCCGAGCCCGTGCGCCTTGGAGGGAGACACCCCTCGCTGCAGACACTCGGCCCTGTGCGTGCAAGGGGACACGTTGGAACAAGGGTGCTGCTGGGGGTCCTCCGCCAGCACCGCCAGGCAGGGGCCCTCGGGAGGACACGGGAATTTGGAGGTGTTTAAGCCCTTCCTACAAGCCTGTCTGTTCTTTCCAGCTACATCTATGCCATAAAAGCCATCCCCCCCTCTCCCTCTGACATTGCTGTAACGCTGCAGCATCCCCGCAGCATCCCCGCGGCATCTCTGTGGCATCCCCGCAGCATCCCCGCGGCATCTCTGTGGCATCCCCGCAGCATACCCGCGGCATCCCC